CCGGACACAAAAAAAGAAAAAAAAAAAAAAAGAAATCGCCCACCAGCCACCAGATGGACTTATTATTCCTTTACAGAAACCTCAAATTTCATAAAATTAAACCTGTTCTTACCTGAATAAAGCTTACAGCTTTCCCAACTATGGAATTTTCATCATTTATTTCCCGTGCGAGCACACTAGGCTTCCCCACCTCTTCCTCGCCACATGCCCCCCTCCCACCGATGTCATGTCTCACAGTTATTTGAGTTTATCTTGTTACTCCCAAAAGACCATATGCCTCTAGGAGATAGATCTTTAGATATGCCCCTGCAATGGCCAACCTAATGCTTTGTATAAACACGACGGGGGTATAATAATTAAAATAAGCAATATGAACTGAATGAGATTAACATATAGTTCTTTTTAAAGTTTTAAGTGCTTTAAACTTTTAAAAACAAGATAAAGTAATAAGAAAAAAAAACATTAATTCAGTTGTATGCCCACAGAAACAAATATATGACAAAGAAGTGAAATATAGGCGTTTTATTTGTTTCAGGGCAAGAAACATCACGGGCAACTAGAGTTACAGGGAAAAGCTTTCATGAAATGTGTGGGACCTGGGATGGGTCTTGAAGTGCTTGTGTATGAGAGGAAGAGATTTTGATTAAATATGGCATTATTTTACTTCCTCTTGAAACACCACTAAAATGTGAATAAAATTATTTTTAAATGGTAAAACCCAAGACTAAAGCAAATTGGAGGGACTGAAAAGCAGAGAAGAGATAGAAACACATCTGTGGGACACTGAAAGCAGATGGGAGAAATTAGCAGTGCTCAGAAATCAGAATATCAGACACCCCCAGAGAAGGCAACACTCAGTAGAAAACCAACTCAAGTCACAGGACTTCCGAAAAGTCCAGAAACTGATGGCAGGAATTAGGCATTAAGAGGCAGGGACGTGGTATGGGGGGATGATTAGAAGTGGGAATGAGGGCAGTGATTCTTTCCCTGGTGGTTATCCTCACCCCACCCAGGCACGTGGTTTTTCTATATAAATATTGAGCAAGAGGCTCCAAACTAGACATCAAGCACGGTGGAGAGCAGGACTGAGTGTGAAAAGAGGGTGATTAAGCAAAAAGCTGAATACACAAACAGCAGCAGGAAGACTACCACTACAGGCAGGAGGCTGCTAAAAGTTTTGGAAAAAACTAAACTGCCCTAGAGAAAAGACCTACAGAGAGTGGCACTGAAAGAGCTGAGTCTCCATATCATCATCCCATAGTGACGTGCAACAGAAAAGCTTCTCCAAGTGACACAGAATTACACGCTTCACTTAAATACAAATGGACAACCCCAGATCACCAGCCTCTCACATGAAAGAACAAAACCTATACAAGCAGGAAGAATGCAACTTGAAGGGCTGGAGACAAGGCAGAGAGAAGAAGAAAAGATCAAAAGAGTATAATTAATATCCTTACAAAGAAGAAACTAGATCCATGACACAGAAGAAACGGCTCGTTAAAAAAAATAATAATCTGAACCAAAAATGGTTACTCATAAAATTAAAAATAATAATGGCAGGAACCAGTTTTACCATCCTAATAGGTAACTTTTATTAACCTGTCCTCCATTTTTAAACCCATCAGCAAGAATTAATTATAGGCTAAAATGCCAGACCGCAATATAAAATGTTCACTATCAATACCTAATCTGAATTTCAATAAAATCACAAGATTTAGGATTGTGAAGAAGCCCTTTGAAGCACCAGATAATTTCCAGGAAGGTATAAATGAAGGAGATACTCGCTTATTACTTTGCCCCTTATTTTCAGCTTGTTATCTTAATGACTAGAAACTCCCTGCTTAGGCTGAAGCTGTAAACCCTTCCTTTCCTCTCTTGATCTCCCCAATCCTCCTCTTATAGAGAGGAAAAAACAGAATAAGTATGCTTCAATAAGACAATGGCATAATTTTATTGCTGTGAAGTACAAGTAGCCTTCAGAGACAACTAGTTCTTCCACATAATTATTAAAATATAATCATATCAACTATTTTAGAACTAAAGTCATATTTTGGTAAGCTAATTAATTACAGCCTCTTAATTTATCAACATGCATATTTTGCAAGAAATGTAAAACACATAATGGAGGAACATAACCAAATCATATTGTTCAAAGTTAAAGATCTAAGGAACTTTTTAGAGTTAAGTTTTTCTTTTTACTAAAGTGTTTAATTATACCTGCTTTAAAATTTTTCTATGTAAAAATTATTACAATATGTTTCATGGTGTGTAGTGCAATGACTTTCACACAATATTCTATGGAGTAAAAGATTCACGCTTTAAAAAAAAAACTGTTTAAAATCACCATATTGTAATTTTATGGGCTCACTCAGTAGTATTACGCAGACCGTAAATTATTTCTTTAGGAGACTCCTGGCCTTGCTTTTCTTACTCCTTAGATGAATCTGCCTTTACAGAGGTGCAGTGTTATTCTCTCCTTAGATACATTTTCTCACTGAGCAACTCAACCTTCCTAAAAAGAGGTCATTCTATCTTCGTGTCCTCGAAACATTAAAGCACACTGTACAATGCTTCACCAACATAAAATAGCTCCAGGCAGCCCTGAGCAAGTGCCCTGCATTGGCAGCCACTCAACAATTACTCAGCACTTTGTTGATGAAAGGTATTGACAGTGGACCCAGAGGGTTTTGCTAGTCAATCCTGCCTCTAGACTGGAGATGTAAACAGGCTTCACAGCGTTGAGGGGCAAGTGAGGCGAACTCACTGGGAAGTGCTATGCCACTGTAGCAAGGTGTGCAGGGGCATGGGAAAGTCCTATCTTTGCCATCTCTACTCTGAATACCCCGACATCATCTCTGGATTAAGGTAGGCTAAGTGCCCCACTAGAGAGCTGGCTTAACCAAACTACACATTTTTAAAAGATTCTAAAAATGGTTTCTGAAAAAAGGAAGAAATTAAGAAAATTGCCATTGGCTAGACAAGGGCAAAATCACAGTCCTGTGACCGACCCACCATTAGAAAAGTCCCCCCAAGTAATCTCTGAAGAGAGTCACTCAAACAATGTTATTCATCTAACTATATTAAGATTAATTTCCCTTTTCTCAATTCTGTTAGTAAGACATCACAAAAACAAACCTATCTTCTGCCAGAGTTCAGATAATCTAAATCTACTGCATTTTCCTGACCTACCAGTCAGAACTTTAGCAAGAGATTAGATTAACATGAAGTGAATTCATGCCGGAGACTGGTGGCAACAACTTCCTCTTCTAGTGGTTTATAAATAATCTGTCTCATCTAGAATTAGTACAAACCTATTTATGCACATCTACTCTTTCAAGTTCCAAGTTCCAAGCACCTTTCTAAGTTCCTAGATCACTGAAACAATTCTGTGGTTGTAAACTCAAGTGCTCCCAGGATTTTATGCCAGGAGATAAGCCCATGGGTGTCCTTTGCATCCTCACCCATCTTGTGAAAGTTCATCCTCTCTGAGTCTGATGGTCTGTGTCATTAACAGAGCACATGATAAGAGCCACTTTCTCTGTCATAAATCAAGGTAATACAACAGGGCTGGGCCCTAGGCAGCAGCCTCACACTTCCTTGTTTTAAACACACTTTAGAAGATTTTTTTTTTTTAATCTATAGCATTTTTTAAAGCCTCCACTCATTTAGAGCTGTAACCTTCTTGATGCTAATTGTGTATAACCTTCTTGCTTTATATATATTTTTTAAATTATAAGCTCCAAGGAACACTACCTGTATATTCTATTTATTTGATTGCCTGATTTTAACTCTTCAGGAAAGAGCATTTGATTTGGATGTTCCGAATCATATTTTTGACAGTTTCACAAACTTCTTGGGTCAATATGCTTTCCAGCACTGTCTAGTGATAATACCTATCTTTTTTTTTTTCTTGAAACTTTCAATATCTGCTTTCTTAAAAATCTAGACTCTATGTACGGTAGTATTCTTCTTAATCCCCCCTGAGCTTCAACAATAAATACCTTCATAGGACTGCTTTTTCTCAAGGTTTCTTTCATTGCTACTTGGTTAATCAATTTCTCTTTAATGTTCCCAATTAAGTAAAGTTCTCAAGTTGTCTGCTGTAGGATAAGTTAAACTGTCAATAGAGGAAGTGGAGAAACTGCAATTAGACCTCACTAAACATGTCGGCAGGTGTCTGTTC